TCACTTGAAATTGGAAAGTCGATGGCAACTTTTGCCGCCACAAAAAGAGCTGTAAAGTCCCCCGATGGACGCGTGGTTATTGTTTGGACGCCATTGTTGCATTAAATGAAGTTTGTATTTTGACTGGACTTAGTTGTTGTTGTCTTGTTGATCTTGTTGTTTTTGTTGCTGTTGCTTTGTGTGAGTGCGTTGCTTGGCATTAAGCTTGTTAGAGGCTTCAAATTAAAGACACGCCCCTCGTTGCCACAGCATGCTCATTACAGCTTGCCAAATCGCATCAGCACAGCTGGAGTTGCTTAAATAATTCATGTCGGACTGTTGCGAAAAAATCAAATAAAACACAAAAAAGAACAGAACAGAACAGAACAGAACGGAACAGAAACCGAGCAGAGCAGCCCAATGAAAGCCAAATTAAGCAGCTGAACGGTTAACCAGGCTCAGGTCGCAGCTGGACGCCGCTTGATTTACGGCCTCTTGCCGCCCTCCACAGCTTGCAATAATTTTCATCTCATTTTCATTATTTTTAGCTTTATCTCGTTTGCTATTTCGTTTGGATACTATTTTCAATTTTTTTCCTTCTCTTTAGCATAAGCCAACGTGAGCTTCCTTAGCGAAGGCTTTATACAAGTATATCTGTATATATATGTGAGTGCTTCTATATTTACGGGTGGTCGTGTATTTTGGTGCAAATATTTTGCACTTGGCTTCCATTTCAAGTGCCATGAATTTTGTGTGTTAAGCCCAAAAAGGTGTAAGGCCGGCTCTTCGAGTCCTTGGAGTCTGTGGCCTGTGGCTGCTTGGCACTTGCGAGTATTCATGACTCTACGCCACCTGAGCAATGTGATTTATCATCGGCTGAAGAGCCGAGCGCACGAATTCTTATGAGAACATAAGTTGGACTCATAATCGAGTAAGCTCAGCAATCTAGCAGCTTTTGCTGGAGCAGAAAGATCAAGTCATAGTTGTGTATAAGAAATTTCGCAAAATAAAGTTGAAAAGTTACAAAACGTTCATTTGTGTGATTGCAGAATAAGATTTAAGTTTGTAAATCGCTATAATTTAAATTAGAAATAAAGGCAACGACTTGTGGAAAAAATGTATAACATCCAAATCATAATTCCCCTTTGTATATCTTTAGAAAACGTCTGACTTCAAATCACTTGTTTGTTTATATATTTTTTAAATAACAAAGTACATTAATTGTGTACTATTTTGCCAGTGGAGTTTGTTATTCAATCAGTTGCAGTGTGTGAACAGCTTGTTTTCAAAAGAAGAAAAAGCTACTTGAATACTCGCTGATAGTTTAAATATTAATATAGTAATACGACTAACCGTGCCAATTTGAGCTGATTGTGAAAAACCATTCAATGCCAAGGAGCTATAGAGATTGTATTCCAGCAGAAGAGCCGAGCGCACGAATTCTTATGAGAACATAAGTTGGACTCATAATCTACTTTCCGTAATAGTGTTTTGGAAGTAAGTTCTGTGCGATCAAACAATCAAGTGGCAATAGCGATCCTTAGAAATGTAATGCTGCATAAGCGAATCAAACATATAGACACACCGTACTACTACATTCGAGTTAATAGGGAGGATAACGAAATAAGTTTTTACGACGAAAACAATCGGACCGTCTTCACATTCACGGATTCCCCTTAGAAGCTGTATTCCAAACAATGAATTTAAAATTGTGAATATATTACTGAACTCATGTTAATGGATAAAATCATTGTTAAATTATTTGATTTATATTATAAAGGCAAATTTCCATTGTGTTAAGAATAAGGAAGTATACAACTTTTTAGAATACATTTCTAATTTAAATCTGGTTTTTGAAATACTTATTATAAAAAATCTGTTTTTATTATATTGTTTTTGTTGTAAACACTTCTAATTAAGCTTATGTTCTTACGTGTTAACTTATTTGAACTTCGTACGTGTTTATAAAACTGTCGGCAATGAAACCTTGTCATGAATTGCGTGAATTCTGCTCAGAGATTACGTTTGGTATCCATATACTTATTTGCCAACTTTTAAAGGCATTTTGATTAGTGTTTTAGTTCAATACATTTAATTCAAATACGTATGCATTGAAAGGTGAAAGGTGGCTTATTTCAATTGAAACTACGATGCTCCACCATGAGAAACAGTTCCACACCATCGAACAACCTGCTTCGTGATCCATTGTTTCCTTCACTACTTTTCATGTGGGCATTGGCAGCTTTTTTGCTCAGTTCTTTTTTTAATCTCTTATGATTAAATCACCTTTCAATACTTTACTCTCCAATTGTTAAGCTCTTTGCAAAATTGAAGACAATTTTCTTCAACAGTTCTAGTTTCTTTCACTTGACGGCCACTGTTGCGCTTCTTCTGTGCCGAGCTTTTCACACTGTCCACTCACTCACTGGGCTTGCTTACTGCAGGGACAGCTTCTGGTGGTCATGAGGTGCTCCATAGCTCGAGCATCCCTATCCCTTGGCAATAGTGGAAACAATTTACTTTTCAAATTGCGTCACAGGCTTGCCTTTTATTCGCTCACAAAGTTAAGATTAGTTTATCCGTTTGCATAATGGTTCTTAAATATTTCTATACCTGTGATAAGCACAACTTTAGATCGATGGATTTTTCTAAGTTTTTGAAGTCAACTCTGATAAAGATGGCATTTATTTCGTTTTAAAAAAATAGAAAACCGCCGCAACTAACTACTCGAGTTGTATTTACTTGTCACAAGTGCTGGGCTCCTTTTCCTTTAACCTGAACCTGTCACTACAGGTAATCGCAGCCTTACCCCAGTGCGAGGCAACAATGATTACCAGCTTTCAACAGCCACCCCATCCAGGCACCCACACAGCTGTGCACTTTCCATGGCAATCCCACAAAGTCTCAAGTGCTGTCAAAGAGATGGTGAACAACAACAAAAAAAAAAAAAAAAAGACAAAACGGAAACTTGTGAACAACTTTCATAAAAACGACAGGCTCTAACGATTCTGCAAAAAGGATAAACACGGCACTCAACAACGCCGGCAGCTGTGACACTTCACAGCGGCGACAGATTTACATCAATTATTGAACTGGTGTGTAACAGGTGAGTAACGGTAACAGCCTGAGCACGAGCAACAACAACAGCAGCAACAACAACAACAACATACCTGTAAACTATGCGGATTGGTATTTGTATTGGTTTTTTCCTCTGTTTGCCGCGCTGGCAATTTCATTTCATGGATATTGCAGTTCTCGTTGTTTGCACTGCTCTATGGCTGATGTTGTTGCTGTTATTGTTGTCAGTCGTGTTTAACTTTTTGATTTGCTTCAAATTTGTTTGCTAAGCCATTTGCCGGGTATCTATACAAGTATATATATATTTATGTATGTACATACGAGTATCTCCAATTTCAAACTGTCGTCTTGTGGTGAACTTTACAATTCGAGAACAACAAAGTCGCTTGGTCACGTGCGAATCCTTTGGATACATTTCATTAAAGCGCTTCTCCGCTCAAACACCATGCAATTAGAACTACACACTGCAACCCCCACTTAGCTCTGGGTCTTGGCCAAAAAGGGTCAACATCAACTAAATGCTTAGCTTAATGCCAACTAATACTTTTGTAAGCAAAAGTCTCAACATTTGGCAAAACTCAATTAACCAGCACACATCCATTAGATATTCCAAGCACAAACAACTATTGAATTGTAAACGTGGAAACGTAAAGCCATAAAATAGCCAAAGGCCGCATTCAAAAGACCACAAAGAGATTATATTTGGCCAAAAGTTTTATGCAAAAAAAAGGTAAAAAAAAAACCATGCCGGCAAAAACAAAAAGCATCTCATGCAGAGGTCACGCAGCAAGGGGGCAAGAGTTTAGGGATTATGTTGCCTAGCAGCACAAAATATTATAAATGGCATTCGGTTATGAATACTAATACCGAGGCACACACCAACACACACACACACAAACAACATACATTTAAAAGCCAATGTCCATGCGTATACTCGAATTTTAAAGGACTTCTGGCATTCCCCAAGCACTTGAATACCAAAATTTGCATTCAATGCCACAATGAGCCACGCCCACAACTTGGCCTGACATGGCGCGATAGTGACAAAAAAATATTTGCTAAATCAATTGATGGCATTTGAACGCAGCGCCAGGCTCCAAAAGATGGCCCGTAAAGGGGCGGCCAACTGTCTAGAGCAGACAAAGCGCAGACAGGTCGCTCACTCAGCCGAGAGTAATGCGTCTCCATCAGATAACAAAGAGCGACTTTCGGGGCCTGCTGCCAGACAGTCATAGCCATAGACAGTGGCCCCAATCGATTTGTGAACAGAATTAAGCTTAATCGTATTCTAATGCTTAATACAAGTAGTAGCTCATAAGAGTATGTAAGCTTGCAAAATTTTATAAAATAGAATACCTTACTTGTTGAACCCAAAATTTTTCAGACAAGAATATAATTTAAAAAGAGTAAATGTGAACTCAAAACTAAACCTAAATTAATGACCTTTTAAAATCAATTGTTTGTCATTTTTTAGAATGCATATACGCGTATGTATGGGTTAAGAATATTGAAGGCCCATTGCGCTAATATTCAATGGAATGTGATGACAAATTTCTGGGGAGAAATACCAGCAGTGACAAGAGGAGAGTCGTGATTAGAAGAAAATCAGAAACTTAGAAGAATGTTCTCTCCAAGATTGGTTACTTTAGCATTTATAGTTCAATCCGCAAACGGATGGCCGAACAGACCTGCTGGGAGGAATAAATATAATTTGTTGTTTAAGGTATCAGATTTATTCCCACCAATCTCGTATTACCCGTCCGTTAAGTTCAAATATTCCTTTTTTTTATAAATATTTAAAATATTTTTATCCTCCATAAACATCTTTAAAAGATGTGATTTTTAAGAAACAGTCACAATCGTTGGCAAATATTTGTTTACTTAAAATTAATTAATTAGGGGGAACGTCCCTCTTTGCTTGTTTCTCAAATTTTTTAGAATTATTTACAAATCTTAAGAACTTGGTATGTATTTCTTTAGCTAACCTCTTTAGATCAACAATATTCTTATTCAAGTTACATTTTTACAAAGTTATGCGAAAGCGTCTCGGCTTTCAAACACAAATATTAAACAATAAAATATTAGTATACGCTCTATGGTTATATGGTTTAATACTAATTATTTAATTGTATTTCTTACAACCCTAATGACCTGTTCCACTGTGCAATGGAAATGGTTTAAGTGTGGACTGGTTCAGAAAATATGGAGTGTAAGAGTTTACGGCATCACCTTATTCCCCCCAGCACTGTTTGTTAGCTTGTTGTTGTTATTGTTATTATTGGTAGTCCCGATCTTGCGGCACAGGCTGAAAAGCACCTCAGGCAGCTGCTTGCCCGACAGGCTCTTCACGCTTATGGGCTTCAATTTGTTGAGCAAATTGTAGACACGCTGATGTTGATAGCTGAAGAGCTGGCCGTTGCCTCCGGAGCCGACAGAGGAACCACCATTATAAATTTTATCATCCACATAGACAATGTCGATGCCCTCCTCCATAATGCGGGCGTGATAGGGATGATTGAGCGGAAAGAGGTTCAGCTCAGTGCCCAACTCCTTGGTGATCAACGTGTTAATGTCACTCGACTTAACCAGATATACAACAATCTCGGAGTTCTTGAAAATACTCTGACCAGCTGGCAGCACAGTTATCTCCACGGCTACGCGTTCGCAGCAAATCAATTCCGGCTCGTACGGTGTCAATGCATGAAACGTGAACAAATAGGGATCGGGCTGTAGAATATATAGTATGGCAAGATGAAGCGAATTTCCAATAAATAGTTAAGCACTTCTAGGAACAACTAAATGGTAATTTAGTTATAATATCTGTTACACTCAATTAAATACAATGGCTTTCTAAATCATCAGCTTTTGACAAATCTTCTTTGAAATGTAGAGTCTTTCTCGAAGGGTATAATTCCCTGTTATATTCACGACCTCTATATATATGTTGTATGATCTTTGTAGTAGTTATCAGCTCTCTTTTATTTAAACCATAAGTTGAGGAACAAAAAACTAATTATTATTTCTGAAAGAAGTGAAGGAGCTTTCGTCCTTTAACAGATTCAAAAATCTCTCAACATCATCTCTAATGAAGTTTCAGGCTATAATAAATACATTGCATCTTCAGAAAATCTGAATATTCGCTGATCTACGATCTAAATCAAATACCGAAGAATTACCCAGAAAAAACACCAACAATGCTTTATAGAGGAAGTTCAGAAGCATTTAAATTATCCCTGCATTTAAGCTAGAAAGGAGCAATCGATATAGGAATTTTAATAGATATTTAATAGGTATATCGATGTAGCGGTGCAGATGAAATTGAATGAAGTGCTCATCTCTGATCTATGTGTACAGTAATCATTGTGCAATACATGTATCTCTGGACCTAATATCTTGTAAACTATTGAACCAATTGGTATTCTGCTTACATTGAAGCGTTTCCGATAATTGTGCAAGAGATCCTCAGTGCTATAAATAGTGCCTTGCCAGCGTGGTGGAATGAATACCTTATGCTCGGCCGATGTTAGCAGCATTATGCCATGCTATATGGAGTACGACAATATTTTGAACAAGTAGGCGAAGATCTTTATTGGTCGAGGCTTACCAAATCGAATGGGTACTCATGCAGATTTTCGGGCGTAACTTCCTTGGGAGCTCCATACGCGTCCAAAAACATACTTAAATTTGTAGTTTTTCAAAAATGTTGTGTATTTTGTTGCTTAAACTGAAACAATTTACAGTTTTTTTTTGTTTTTTGTTTTTAGTCGTCTGTAGTGTGTGACAGCTCTGAAGAGATAAAGAGAGTAGATGGAAATAGTAATGGCTACTATTATTTGCAGTTTTGTTTCCGTTCGGCCGAATTGCAAAACTAACTAACGATGTCAACTCTTTTTGTTGCCACAACTATTGATGACTACATGCTGCTATGTACATACATATATATATATATAGTAGTGTGTATTCGAATAGAAACATGTTTTCCCGTCATACGAGTATAGAAAATGTGTTGGACATGCACAGCATGCAGCCATTCGGCAAGGCTAATGATAGTGTGTGTGTGTGTGCGGGGAGAGAGTGCCTTAGGCATGGGCCTTTGTCAACTACGGGTAGCTCTCATGTAAGCTCATAAATTTGCCATGCTTGTGTAGGCCGTTGTAGCACACACATATGACAACTTAAGCTTGCCCCCGCACCCACGTGTCTGTGTGTGTGTGTGTCCATTAGGCCGAGTGCAGTGACAGCCGCTGGCAGAATTGAGAAAACAATTACAACATCATGACAGTCCAAGCAACTGCGGCAAGCAAACTAAATACACACACACACACATACATGCAATAACAACAACTGCAGCTTTGACTCGGACGCATCCTTTTCTGGGGCTCCCCGGCCCCCCAGCTTGGAATGCGGTCATAAATTATGTCGTTGTCGTCGCTGGGTCTATTAGCACCCTTAAAATGTCCGATCCTGACAACAACGCTTTGTGGTTTAGTGCACAGCCGGCGAGTGCTTAAGCCCCACTGCTTCCTCTTCATTTTTCCATTTTTCTCGTCTCCACATGCCCGAAAAGGGCACACATTTATCGGAGGCAGCGAAAGGAACAAAAGATGCGACTTCTGCACAATCGGACATACCCTTAACTAAGTTATCCCATCTAATGATTCCTTATCACTTCCTCTTACAGCTTTTTTTACACCTTAATTTCCCGCGTACCTTAGGGATGCGCGATATAAGTCGATGTTCAATAATACTTCGATGTTTGCCTGCGATATGTCGAGCTTCTCCGATATTTTTAATATTTCGATATCGACGCACACAATAGATGTAATTAATTCGTTGCATCAAAAATCGAGATTTATTTCGTAACTGATTTTGACGCGCCAAGTGTTAGGGATGTGAGTCGACGGAAAAGCATCGATGCTTAAAAAAATTTATTCTCTATAGAAAAATAGCTGATATTAGGGTAAAAATCAACAGATGTTTGAAATAAAAAATGTTTATATAACAAAAGAGACTGTCTTAGTATTTTACTTAATGTTGTTAATCAATAATGTACTCGTAATATTGATGAGCTTGTATGGCTTACTTAAAAAATGATTATATACAGTTTTGAGAACAATGACGCGTTTTAGCTACGCCTTTTAAGCATATTAAGTGTGACAATTTATATGAAAAAATCAAGACCAAATGCTTAACAATCTAAAATGATGTTTTCGATAGTTTTATATAAAGCCATCGCTGCTATCGATAGTTCAAACGAATTTTGAATGCAGTAAAGTACATATTAAATCAACATTCAGATTTTTTATACAAATGTTGGAGCGCGTTTTCCCTCTTCTGCAATTCGAATTTTCCAAAACCGTGCTCTTATACACTGAAGGGATGGGAAGGGAATGGGGGTGTGCGTTAATCGCCAATCAGGGCGAACGCACATAGGTGCCTCGTTCCGTAATTATTGCAATTTTCAACCCTAGCGTAAGAGTTCCAAAAATTTTCATCGTTAATTTGACGTTGAAAACTTTAGTAATAATTACATTTTATTAATTTACAAATATTGTTTATAAACTTCCTTTATTAGTGCAGTGTTTTGTATAAATTTTAAGGAAATAATAGAGATGCAAAAATTTATAAGCTGAGAATTTCATATTTAGTGATCAAACAGTAAAAAAAATAAAATCGACCGAAGCGGACGAAGAACAACCGTAGTGTACATACGTTAAATAAGAAAAATAGACCGATTTTAAAGAAAGTTATAACCATAAAAAATCTCTGTCTACTCATTGTCAGCAGCTATTGTTGTTGTTGCTACTTTGGTTCATAATCCCGATGTAAATATCCAATCATTGACCATTTACGTGAGCTCGAATCCTGAAGAAGGAATAATTTATTCTTAATATATGTATATGGTAAGAAGAAGATTTAGAAACATGAAATTGCTTATTTATCATATTGTTTCGGTTTACTGAGATTGATTTTTGCACAAATTTTAAAGAAACTTCTATTCGATAGGGCTGAAGTCACTTATAATGAATCATTATTCCTTATATGCAAGGGCAAACGCAATTTTGCCTTATGAAGTCGTTCATTATAATAATATTCATTATGACGCACTATTTCGCCTTAAAATGGAGCTGAGTTGGATTTGTTGAAGTTTTTTCATTAACCGTATCGATAAATAACTTTTTAAATGCATCGTTCATTATTTAATCAATTTAATTTTTGGGTCTCCCCCCTACTTTGGTAAAAGCTGCGTACGCCCTTGCTTATACATACATAAGTGTGTTGAAATCAATTAAAATCTCTAAAGGCTGTACTATGTATATATGTATGTATATATGTATGTTTAATGCTGATATTGAGATAAGGTGAACATACAAGTATATACTATGTCGGACCATTGACCTGTATGTACATATTTCTGATAATATTTAGCACTATTACTGGGAAAGTGATTACCAGATTGGAGGCAGAAACAATAACTAGACATACTCAAATATTTTAGAAGTGCACGAATCTGTCGAAAAAAATCTGAAAACTTATTTGTCACTTAAACGAAAAAACGTGGAACGTCTGTTGCTTGGCAGTTGCACGTACTTGTACATTATGCCACAGCCCCTCCGCACAGATCGGCGCGTTATGATTGAAAAATAATTTCGCAAAAATACAAGTATATTGCAAGAAATCAGAGCGGCGCATGACAAGCTGCACAGAAGCGTTTGACAGAGCACGAAGTGGTGCAGAGGAGAAAGAGGATGTGTTAGGGATCGGGATCGGGATGGGGTGGTGGTGGGGGTGGGGATAGGGACAAGACTGCCAAAGTTGCGAGCACGTTTTTTATTTGCCTTGCCTCGTAGTGTCGAGCCGCGCCGCGCCGGGCCGGGCCGTGCCACGTGGTGCGACAAAGTCAAAGAGAACATTTGTAAAACAAGGAAGAATTATGGCATTTTTGATGGCCGAAAATCAAGTTTGTTTTTACGTGCCTCACCCGTAGCATCCTACCTCCTCTCCACCCATCAATATGCTTGTGGAGGGGGCCGCGTGATTACGTGCACAGTTCGCAGCAATGTGGCTCTGGATGGATGTCAAAGGTCGCAGCTGCTGCAAATGGCTGGTGCTTTGCCGAAATGAGCACAGTGGCGGAGCGCAGAGTTGGAGTCGGACTCCGATTCAGAGCCAGAGTCAGAGTCAGAGAGTCCATTTGGGTTTAGGTATATAGTATGAGAAATCGCCTGTCATTATCGGCGCGCTTGCGAAAATTCGCTAGTTCGCACACATGTCTCCACTTCACGAATCGAAATCGCACCATAAATTATGCTACTTTTCTCAGCACCCACAAATCCATGTGCTCCCACTACTTGCTCCATCTCTACAGCATGTACACACTTATACATATATAGACATCTTCAGCTGCTGCTCCTGCTTTTATGTTGCGTGAAAAATTGCGCCCCAAAAACCTCACAGCTTGCCTCTGTTTGCGTGACCCACAAGCCGAATTCTGAAATTCCCCGCATTGCCGCAAAACTTATTGAAAATCACTTAGACACACATGTGACACCCAGCCACAGAGGCACAAGCGATTGCGTGGATTCGTAACTTTGTATAATTTATGGGCTCCAGCCAGGGTTCAAATGGGTGCGAATGCTTTCCAGCGTTATACATGTCGTATAATTAGCGATTGGTCGACGGGGTCAGACTACTTATAATCACGTTGGTGATAGCATTTGATTGCAAATGGTTTTTTCCCAGACACTTTTTTATAAATAACTTTCCAACGGACGAACGCGTTTATTAAAATTATTTTCATTCTTATCAATGCACAGACCGTTTTGTCTGAGTGGACACTGATTGAGAGTAAGATCTCAAAAGTTGCTAGGGTGAGCAAAGCTTTGCTTCTTCAGACGCGCACATGAATAATGAATAAAATAAAATGGTGAAAAGTGAATTATACAAATGGCAGCAAGAGAAAATAAACTATATAAAGAGTGCTACTATGAAGCTTTAAGAGCCACTAAACAGTTAAAAATTTCATATTTCTATTAAAAAGTAATGTTGATTACGAAAAGTGCTCTGATTATAAATGCCATCAAATTAATTCCAATTTTTTTTAAATACATATGTATGTATGTGTTCTCTTTTTACTTTTCAAAATTTAAAAAACGATTTTTGTGTTTTTCAAAATAAAAAATTTAAACATTAAAAATATTTTTGATGCGTTTTTCGAAGGCTAGGAATGTAACCCTATATTTTATATGAAAATACATGGCTCGTTTAGCACGATTTCGCTTAACACGACGTTTTCAAGGAAGGTAGCACCGATGTTAGGCGAGGGCTAGGTGTATAAAGGCTTGTCTATCTAAGCCATACATTGCTTTATTATTTTAAATGTATGTATTTGTGTAGCAAATTATTTGAAGAAAATTATGTGTTTCTGAAGTATTAGCAAGATCAGAGTATATTCTTTCACAACTGCAATGCTTTTTACATAAAAACGAAAGCAATATACTTGTATGTACAATTAATTTTGATAATAATTTCTTATTTCTAAGTATTTTAAGAAATAAATAGGGCCTAATGCCTAAGCTATGATATTGATATTGATCGTGTTTCAAACCATATCAGAAAATAAATAAAATCTGAATGTTTTGTCAATAAATCTGTTTTGGCCGATGCTCGAATTTAAAGTCTAGTTCAATTGTTTTGACAATATTTTTGCTGCTTACATCTGAACTAATCGGCAAGGCTTAAAGTCTAAATAAGTGCGGCGTGGCTGGCAG